CTAAATGAATTTTGTGGTGTACAGAACAAACAAGATGAGGATGTTGATGACCTTAATCTACACTGTGCTACTCTGAACTCCTTGGAAATGTGTCTATCACTGGGGAGTAATCTTTCCAAATATTATTGAGTTCTTTAAAAATAAGTTTATATGTTAATAACTTTGGAAACAAAAAAATCACAGTAACTTATTTTGAATGAATTATGAGTTAAAGAATATATTGTCATAAACATTGAATATCTAGAACTGAACAGTAATGAATTCATTATATCTTTAATTTGTGGGTTGCAGTTGAAGTATTACTTAGAATGAAATTTATAGCCATAATGAACATTTTGGAAGATATGAAACATTGCAAACTACTGGTCTAAGAAATCCATTTGTATATCAGTAGCAGGAGAAGTCACATAAATATAAAGAAAGAAATAATAGGCAACGGCCAAGAAGGAGTAGAAAAATAAAAATAAATAATGATGAAGTTACTAAGTAGCTCATTGAAAAGGTATATCTGTAGCAGCTTTGTTTATAAAAGTAAAAGAAAAAAGCAACGATCACAAGCTTAATGACAAAATTGAGATGCATGTTACAAAATAATTACTATATACATAACTATGTAATATTTTGGATAACAAGGTGAAAGAGACAATTACCTAGAAAAATATCTCATCAAATTATGTAGAACAAAATTTAATGCCCAAGATTAGTATGAATTTACAGGCTAATATTAACAAATAAATAATGACTTGTCAAAACAAAAACAAGTTTGAAAAATAAAAGAGAACTATATGGGCATGAGGATATTTATATATTACAGAATATAGAAGCACAACTCAATATAGATAGCTGTGAAAGAAACCATGGCAGAAATCAGTAAATAGAAGTAAATAAAACTCTGAAAAATGATAACTCTTGTCTATCCAGTATATCTATGTCAAGAACAAAAGTAACCAGGGCCGGGGATTCAGCTCAGTGGCACCACAATGCCTCGCAAGTGCAAGTTCCTGAGTTCAATCCCTGGTACCGAAAAAAAAAGTAACCAGAACAATGAACTTTTAATTTAACATACAATTCATGCTCTTTTAATAAAAACATAAATGTAAAAGCAAAATTATTAAGTTAGTGAAAAACCTGTTCTCTTACCTTGCACCAAGACTAATTTTGTACATAGAATTTGAAAAGTAAAATTTATAACATGGTGAAATAGATTTTATTGAATTTAATTTTAAAATGTTACACAACAGAAGATATCATTAGCACATTACAGAGTTGCACCCTGGATTTGACAAGTGACAAATAAAGAGGTGGATCTAACATTTAAGACACATGTAAAAATTAATATTAGAAAGACAATGAGCCAATAGAAAAATGGCACAAAGAAGCAATTCATAAAACAGAGGATGCTGCCATTTTGTAGAGCTACTGCAATATGGCTGGTAACTGGAGCTGTTCAAAGAACAATATTCATTGTATTGTCTAGTCTGGAAAAGAATAGTCACAAATATGCAAAGGAAAAAATGCTTCCACTGAGCAGTGATCACACTATCCAAAGTGAAATCAACAGTGTGTAGGAAACTAAATGAAGCAAGAATGCTTTATTTATATAATCATTCTACCTAACAGTTAAGATGAATTATATTCATATTTATTAATGTGACCATTTCAAAATCATAAGTGAAAAAAGCAGTAAAATTTTATTAACACATGAAACAGTTACACGTATTTTTAATATATATTTCTGGTTTTTCTTCAACTTGGCCCCCTAAAAGCAGACTGTAGGATGGACAGTTATGTAAAAAATGTTCACAGGAAATGCCATAGGAAAATGTACTCACAGCAAATGGGAAAGACCAAATTGAATAAATTAAGCCAACCTGTAATATGCTTGGACCTTTGGTATTTTTTATCTTCCAGGTATTTCTGCAGCTCAGATAGTTCTTCAGCATTATTACGCATTGAGTGCAAGAAGGCTAGGGAGATTTATCTCTGAGTTATCTAATGTTTGACCAAACCAAAGAAAGGCACTGCTGTAAAACAACAGCAACTCATGGTAGCAGCTGAGGACTGGTTGCATAAGACCTGAAGCTGGCCCTGAGTATCTAGCTGTCACTAGTCCTAGCTATAGAATGAAAATATTGAGCGCCTAGCTGGGCCTGGTGGTACTGTAATCCCAGGGCCCTGGGAGGCTGAGCCTGGAGGGTCTCAAATCTGAGTTCAGCCTGGCAACTTGATGAATGAGCAAGACTGTGTCTTAAAATAAAATAGAAAGAAAGGTTTGGGAATGAAGCTCAGTGGAAAAGGCCTGCATTCCCTGTCACTCTCCTCAAAGTATGGTACCCACATATACATGGGAATAGCTCATATTTACTTCAGGATTGTAGTTTTCTATAGGGAGGGAGGGACAGAGAGGCACAAGGTAATGCTTTAGATTGATTTGCGATATTGTATTTGTTTAAAAATAATACTGAAGCAAATAGAAAAAAGTTACCTCACTATTGTGTCTCTGTTAATTATGCTACCTCAATGATATTCAGCTATTTGAAGTATTGGGCACTTTTCAATTTAGTCTGATCCAAGATTGGCAAAATGACCCTTCAGATAAAATTTACCTAAGAACAGACAGAAATATCTATGTGTAGTTAACATATAAAAAGCTTTGATCAAAATGTAATGATGTTTTTTAATCTCAGTTGAGAGCATAGTCAAGTACATTAAGAAGTTATTTAGATTGTGCATGTACTCTAAAATGTATTTTTATTTAAAGTGCACAAATATATCATAGATATACACACACTCATATAGATTAATTTGTACACACATAGTTATCAGTCTTTTTATTTAAGATTGTGGCCTTTTCTTTGAGTATATGTCTATAGAATATAGTTTCAAATAATCTTTTATTTGTTCAGTTACCTTCCTATTATTTTATTTCCTTTTTTTTTTTTTTTTTGGTACCTGGGATTGAACTTGGGTCCTTGTGCTTGCGCAGCAGGCGGCAAAACCACTGAGTTAAATCCCCGGCCCTGCCTACCTACAATTTACAGATTTAGACTGATGTCAGGGATTTAGCTAATGGTACCAGAACCTTCCTGGCAAGCGTAAGGTCCTAAGTTTGATCCCCGGTACCGGAAAAATTTATGTATGAAACTCTTAAAAAATGTGGCATTTTGAGGTTATAAGAGATTAATGAGGGCATATGAAAGATTTCTCTCCACCAGAAAATGACTTTGCTGACACTCAGATTTCACATTTCCAGGCATCATAACTAAGAAAACAAATTCCTATTGTTTAACTCACAAAATTTATGGTATTTGTTTAACAGCCAAAGCTACCAATAGAGATTTTTGTATGAAGTAGCAGAGTGCTGCTGTAACAAATACCTAAAAATGTGGAAGCATGATGGAGACTACCTTGAACGTGCTACAAATTCATACATTGGCTTTTCATATTGAAGGTCCAAGTCTGCCTCGTAGTCCACAATGGCTGCCTGAAGAGCCAGCAGTTGGTGTGTGTGTGGGAAGGGAGCAACTCCCCACACCACTGGTCACAGCAGAGGTCTCCATGATCCATGATGCTGTGATGTCTTGGATGGCAAGACGATAGTGCAGCTAAGGGCAGCATGACTCGTACAGAAAACTCCTAGAGAGGAAGAAATTAATTCATGGGCAGAAACAAATTTCCCATTAATCTATGAGCTGTTCCTACTAGAAGGTCTTGTTCTCTGGTTGCTAGGAGCCTGTGTGCATCAGTGGTCTCCACTTCATTGTTCCTTGCGTGGCCCCTTACCCCTTCTAGAAGCTGCATGTTGAATAAATAGTGGCAAGCTCCCCGAGATGGTGTCTTAGCCAGATAAGAGCTTTGACCATCCTGGGCCACCCCCCAATTAATGCATTAAGATCTTGTCTTGTCTTCTTTTTAATCCATCCACTGTACCCTTGGTCAGGTGATTGGACATCTCATCAGCCTCCAATACAAGTAGATTTGAAACTGGGTTATTTCACAAATTCATAGTAGAAAAGGATGAAATTTATTTCAAGTCTGTCTCATCCTCATCTGATTTAGAAGACATTTAGATGAGATTTAGTGCTTTTGATGCTAGTGTAGGTACTTGAATTAGTTAAAGACTCTTTGGGCTGTTGGAATGGAATGAAGTCATTTTGCATGTGAAATGGTTATAAATTTGGGGGATTCTGGGTTGGAATGCTATGGACTCCATTATGTCCCACAACAATTTATATGATTAAGCCCTTGCCCCCCTTTGATGATATTTGAGGATGGAAATATAGGACTTACTTAGGGTTAGATGAGATCATGAGGGCAGGGCTCTCATGTTGAGATTAGTGGCTTCATAAAAAAAAAGGGAAGGGCCGGGGATTTAGCTCAGTGGTTTCACTGCCTGCTGCACAAGCACAAGGACCCGAGTTCAATCCCCGGTACCAAAAAAAAAAAAAAAAAAAGGGAAATCTCTATTCTCCATATGAGGACAATGGAAAAAGTGTCAAAGTGTTATCTGGAATCTGTGAGGAGAACTCTCCCCAAAATGCAACAATGCTATTGAATTTATAGCCTCCAGAACTGCGAGAAAATTTCTGTGGTTCAAGCCACACACATCTATGGCATTTTGTTATGGAATCCTAAATGTCTGTCTTTTTGTCTCCACCAATTGCAACTTAATTTTACTCTATTATTTATTTATATTTTGGGTTTCTCATATGAAAGGAATCATGCAATATTTAATTTTCTCCAACTTATTTATTTTACTTAACATTATAGTATCAAATTCCATCAATTTTACTGCAAATTGCATGATTTCATTCTTCTTTCCACTGAATAATATTACATTATGTATAAACTACATTTTCATTACCTATTCATATGTTGATGGAGATTTAGATTATATCCACACCTTAGCTCTTGTTGTTCTGCTACAATCATAGGTATTCATTAATTAGCATGATATGGCATCTCTAACTCTTTCAGGAATAAACCCAGGAGAGGTATAGCTGTGTCAAATGGATTTAGTTTGTGGATTTCAACTCCTTGATTAGTTGATTCCTGTGTCTTTAATTTTTTGAAGTTATCATGAACAGAACTGTTTTTGTAATTTTTCTCTTGTTAGGTTCATTATTGGTGTACAGGAACGCTACTGATTTTTTGTTTCTTACTTTTGTAGCTGGTCATTTTGCTGAATTTCTTTATCGGATCTAAGAGTCTCCTGATAGAATTTTTTGTCTTCTATGTAAAGGATTATATCATGTACACCTATACATAATTTGATTTCTTTCCTACTCATACCCACTTTATTTCTTTCTTTTGCCTAATTGCTCAGCTAAAGTTGCAAGTGTTGCATTGAACAAAAGTGGAGAGAATGGAGACTTGTCCCCTTCCTGATTTTCCAGAGAAGATTTCAGCTTTTCTCAATTCTATATGGTGTTGACTGTGGGTTTCTCACATGACTTCTATCAGTTTGAGGTAAGGTCCTTCTATATCTTTTTTTTAGTCTAAGTTTTTATCATGCAGGGTGTTGGATTTTGTCAAAGTTTATTTCTTTATCTATTAAGATGATCACATTATTATTGACTATTTATATATTGTATTAATTGATTTATGTACTTTGAACTATCCTTGTGCCCCTTGGATGGAGCTGGCTTGGTCATGTGTAGGATCTTTTTAATGATTTATTGAATTTTGTTACCCAATATCTTTTTGGAGATTTTTGCATCTATGTTCAGCAAGTATAATGGCCTGTTGTTTTCTTTTTATGTTGAGTCTTTATCTGATTTTGGCATCAGGGTAAGGGTTTCATAGAATGGGTTTGGAAGCATTCCTTTTCTTTCAATTACAGGGAAACATTTGAGGCATGTTGGCATTAGTTCTCTAAAGTTTTGATGAAATTCAGTAGTGAATCAATTAGACGCTGGGCTTTTTTTAATCGGTAGTTTTTTTCTTACTTCGTCAATTTCTTTGCTGGTTATTGGTCTGTTGATGTTTTTTATTTTTTCTTAGTTCAAGTTTGGTAAGTCATACATGCTTAGGAATTTAACCTTTTTTTATCAGAGTCTCTCATTTGATGGAATTTAAGTTTTCAAAATAGTTTCTAATAATCCTCTGGATTTCAGCAGTATCTACTGTAATTTTGCCTTTTCCATTTGTGATTGTATTTATTAGTGTCTTCTCTGTAATTCTTAAGCTAAGTTTGGTTAAGGGTTTACTAATCTTTTTTAACCTTTCAAAGAACTAATTTTTTGATTCATTGATCCTTTGTACTTTTTTGGTTTCAATTTTATTATCTTCTGCTCTGATCTTTATATTTTCTTTCCTTGTAGTATTTTTGAGTTTACATTTTTCTGAGTTTTTCTAGGACCTCCAGGATGCATCACTAGTTTACTTATTTTGGATGACTCTCATTTTCTAATCTAGGCATTCGTTGCAATAAATCTGCCTCTTAGAACTGCATTCACTGTGTTTTACAGACTCTGATATGTGGTGATTCTGTGGTCATTTGATTCTAGGAAATTTTAAATATCTTCCTTCTGAGTAATTTCCAGTTTCTGAAGCAAATGGGAAAGAGCACTCTGGAAGCAAAGGCTTCCACCGAGAAGTACAGGTACTGTACCAGCAAGTTTTTGTGGGGTGTATGAAGATGTCAAGTACCAAGGAAATGTGTGTGGGGGGAGGCTTTGTTCCATTTCTTTATACCACCATCTTTTGGTTATGGTTTCCAATATGCTCTCTTTAACTGATGCAATAACTTAGGGAACTTGTACTTTAAATCTTTTTTCCCTCAAATGCCTTACCATTCTTTTTGGAGTAGCTTATCTTTTTTTAGTCTTCCCAAATGGTTCAATCACCATTTTTGCATGATTTTACATAGTACTTGATAATTAAATTACATAATTACAATAATAAGCACACAGTACAAACAGCTTTGGAAATTATGATCTTGGCTCTTGGTTGGGTTACATCTCAAGTTTTGGCATTAATAGCATGGTTGTGTTGCCTGAGAGAGCCGAGTCCTCAGCAGGCAGTAGCTGATAGGAATTCCAGAGAGAATGCAAAGCTTGAGCTAACCAGTAAGTCTGCTTAATGGAGGTGAGTAAAAGGAATGTGCCCTGTATAGGAAGAATTGTTACACAAAAGAGAAATTCAATTCCCCCAGTGACATGAAACTTGGGGTAGATTTGGAAAGGAGCAACTTTTTGTGGGATCACATATGCATTTATCTCAATTACATTTCCCATACAAACAGAAACAGGGTGCAGCAGGGAGGCTGTAACTCACTCTCAATTGAGTACTCTAGCAAAATTTAGTTCACCACTCAATAAGAGTCTTTTGAGTCGTAAGGGAATTTCAGTGTCATTTACTGGGTTGGGCTAATTGACCTCTACATGTTCTTTATTTCTTTACTTTCTCTGATTCAAAAAATTACACTGTTTTTTTGCCCTTAAAGCAGGATCCAGTTCCACTGAGCTGTGTTAGGGAATTGCATGCATGCTTTATGCTTCCTAGAAGTAAACATTCAGGCAAAAGCAAGTGTTTTTGTTAGACGAGCCACTTTGGCATTAAGAAATGTTCTACCTTCCTGACAAAGTTAAAAGACTTAAATATTCTAACACATTCCTGGTAAGAAGGTTTGCGTAGGATTCAACAGGAGCTAGTTTGGGTTGTTCAAAGACAGAGTATTGAATTGTACCCTCCATGTGCCAGTGATGGAGTCTCCCTTCAATAAGGGAACAACTGTTTCTTCATGCCAAGGTACCTAAACAAAATGTCCTTATCTCTCTGGTTGGCTAGTAACATTTTCATATATCATCATGCGAAATGCATGGTTGGAATTAAATAGCTCTTTGTTGCTGCTGCTGTTAAGTTCATGTTCATACAATTCTTGACATTTTAGGGGCTCACATTATTTCCTTAGGGATCACTTTTCCTTCCTTTAGGGATCTTTCTTTACTTCCTTCCGTGAGTATCACGCCACGTCTTTTAAATGAACAGCTGCCCTTTCTCACCCCAGGCCTGTGCCTGTTGCTCTCTCAGCTGCCAATTCCTTCTCACTCTGATCTTCTGATTCCCCATGAATGTATCCCTGTAGTGCCCTGGCCAGGTGAACTCTGTTTCTCTTATTCCTACAGCACCTTACACAGGCCTCTCATAGTGTAGATATTATTCATGAGGCTTAAAGTCCTCCACTATTGTAGAGAAATGTGTACAATGCCATTCATCATAGTGCCACAGTTAGGAACACTTCCTGTAGCCTGACTTCCACTTTTACCACAGCTGTAGGATTCCAAAGAAGCACTCCTGGATTCTGAGAAAAAGAAAATGGAGATAGGACTAATCCTCTCGACTATTATCACGAATACCAAGAGTTGTCTTGTTCACCCCAATACACAGAGTTAAACAACTTCAACCTTGACTGTTTCAGCTGCATCCTACAGGTAAGAAAAAAAATCATCCTAGTTTTCTTAGTTTGTTCACTCCATATCAAGTTTTCTCCTCTTAGAATAAAATAAAATACTTTCCTTTACAAAAACATTTTTTTTTCTCACACCAACAATTTCTTTCTGACACGAAGATTGAGCTGGATTTGCAACTTCTCAACTAAAAACTTCATCTGTTTTTTTTTTTCCCCATTTCATTTTCTTTGAAAAAAACACTAAAGAAGAAATAAGTCTAAAATAGATACCCTCATGAAAAACAAATTTAGGTGCCATATTTTTTAGGGACTGCTGAGAATAAGGGACAACACTAACAAGTGAGCTCATCTGGCTAAAAGTCTGTTGCTTGGGTGATAAAGGAATAGATTTAGTTCATGAATACAAATTTCCTGAATTCCACTTCAATAGTCTGTATGATCAGATACCTCCTGAATATGAAGGCCACAAAGGGACACAGCATGGCAGCCTCACTGAGTTGTAGGCAAAACTGCAGTGTGCAGGGCCTATTGGAAAACTTCAAGAATTGTCAACAAATCAGTAAGAAGGGCTGGAGATGTAAGTCAGTGCAAATGTCCTCAGTTCAATCCCTAAGAGAACAATTAAAAAAAAATAAAAGCACAACACAAGATGTTTAGAAGGAAATCAATATATTCCACAGTGCACTCATAATTTGTTCCACTTGAATTAGGTCATCTTTAGATAATTCTTTACAGAGGTGTTACCAGGTATAAAGCCCAAGATGATATTTTATGGCTCCATTCTACACTTCTAAATTGGTCTTTCACAGAGGTAATATACATGGAATCATTAAAAATTGCTCTATTATATGCTGAACTTATAATGAATATAATAAGCTTATAATGAAAGCCCGAAAGATTCTGTAATTACAAACCCAATTTGGATTTCCTTTCTTAAAAAAGGTTCCAATGACAGCTTATAGAGGCAAAATATCCTGTATTTCAGAATTTGCAATACTTTACAATGAAAATTTCTGTGTAAGATGAGTTCCACTGAGAATTAGAGCCTACCAGAGTGCACAATTGTTATTTTTTAATATAAAGTTTTTTCTGGTAGTGAAGGAAAATGAAGGCATTCTAACTATACAACAAAGCCTATAGAATTCACTTATTTGTTTACCCTTAAGAAAAAATTCAATAAACTTAGGTTTAACAATCTACAACATGGAGAACAACCTGGTATCTACCCTGAAAAGCGATTATAAGAATCAAATGACTCAATCCTCTGATTGAGGAGGAGGTCTTAGAATATCACCAAACAATTAGCAATCATTTGTAAAGATTATTTATTTTAACAGCCACATTTATTCATTTATTCATCTGAATCTCCTTCGTGCACTTTTCCTGAGCACTTTTACTTTTGGTGAGTATGTGTGACACGATGATATAAAAATGTAGTAAACAATTTGTCTTCATGGTGCCCACAATATACCACAAGAATCTTTGTTAAAAACGTACTTTCCTGGTATTGTGCCACTGGTTTAAATTAAGTGTCACAGGAGACAGAGGAAAGAGCTTCGTTTTTAGCCAACATGTGAAAGGGAGGGCACTTCCAGAGGAAATCTGTCCTAGGTAGTTTTTCGAGATGAATGGATTTTCATTGACAAAGAGGAAGGAAGCAATGCTTCATGAAAAGAGGCATGAAGAGGGGAAGCTGCTTTGAAACTGAAAGTAGCCCTCTGTAGTTGGAACACATCACACATCGTGGGTTGGATTCCAGTTTTGGCAAGTAGATGACATCATTGTTCACCTTGTGCAGGATGTGAACAGTTCTCAGTTCGCATTGAAAATGAAAAATCTGGAACAGCCGGAGAGGTGTTGATGAAGAGAGAATAATCATGTACAAAAATAGATGCCAGGAGATAATTCTGCCTTCAGCAAGGACAAAAGGGGAAGATTTTTTTTTACAAGGGGGAAAATGAGAATGAGGAATCTAGATCAAATTCTTTTCTCCAGAAAAGTAAAAAATAAATGTAGAGATAGAGAAAGTAAGATGAGTGAGTGAGACATTGAAAGATTATTAGGCATGCTCATTTATTTAGATGTTTTATGACATGAAAAGAAAGAGCAAAAAGATTTTCTCAAGTACAGATGAGGAACCTGAGTAAATGATTTTTCCAAGTTCAAATGGCTCCAAAAAGTACTGCAGCTTTTTCCCCTCTTGAGCACTTTGTGCGTGCATGTGTGTGTGTGTGTGTGTGTGTGTGTGTTCAGTATGGAACCCATGGCTTCACACATGCTAAAAAGTCAGCTACTGAGCTGGAACTCCAAGCCCACTTCAGGAATTCTTATGCCTACAGCTGCGGGGTTCTTTTTCTACAACGTCCAGGGCTTCCCTTTCAGATGGACAAAAATACCTGACTGTGTGAATGTTACTTTCCTTATTCCCAGGATATATTGCTAATATTTAAAATAAGCAGGAGGGAAGTAATGAAGCTGATCTTACTCTACTCCTGATTTACAGCACGTACAACAGAGGGAACAAGCATACTAGTGAGTTCTGTTCTCATCTCTACTATGGCAGGCACATTTAATTAGTAGTAAAAATAGAAATGCATATTTAGCTCCTTATTCAGCAAGAACTGGAAAGACACCAGATTATAGGCATAGCAAAATGCGAAGATTGACATTCTAACAAAGCCTTCTTTCTGAAATGAACATCCAAAAATGATGACTCAGGCAAATTATCTGTTAATTGCTGACCGGGTTTTAACCAGGTCAGCTCCAAATAAGGATGCAAATTGAGCTCGATAGAAGAAATGCTTGTTACCTGATTTGGTTCAGATAGGAGCTGCAGAATTGAGGTTAGACAACAGGAAACATTTAGGGCTGGATCATGAAGCAAGTTTAACAATTTAAGTTATTAAAGGCAGAAGCATTTAAAATGAGACATTCTATGAAAACTGAACTTTTTTTTCTATAAGTGTATATTGCTTTTCTATTGTTCCACAACAATTTAGCACATATTTTGCAGCACAAATACAATACAAGATATTTTCTGATAATCTATATGGTCAGGACTCCAGACATATATGGTCTGAATCCTGTTCTGGCCTCCCCAGGCTGAAATCAGTGTTACTGGAGATCTTCCAGACTCATGGCTTGTTGATACAATTCAGTTTTTTTTTTTAATTGAAGATCTGAGACTCTAATCTCTTTGCCCTGCCATTTGGCCTTTTTCATAACATGACAGCTTTCTTCCTTAAGACTAGCAAGAGAATATCTCTATTGCTTTAAATCTATCTGCTGTGTTTCACCACTGACCATTGGATTCTCTTTTCCAGGTTTTAGCTGATTAGGTAAGGTCCACCTTTTTGATCAAACTAAAAACAACTGATGAAGAGCTTTAATCAAATCTTTGAAATACCTTAACCTTCCAATTCAAAATAACCTTATCCCAAGAGGAACATTCATCATATTCATTGTTACTTCTTCTACTCAAGGGCATATACACCAGTGTATACCAGAGAGAAAAAAATCCTGAAGTCACTTGAGAATCTTCTACCACAATGCTTTTATGGAGTTATATTTCTGAGGGGTCTAAAATTCATTATGACTAATACCAGAAGTGGAGTTGTCCAAAAACATTCTACTCTGAAACAAAATCTGGATGCTAATCTACCCTCTAATCTAGAATTTAATTCTAAGTCTTAGATTTTTCATCTCAAAAGGGAGAAAATTAATAATTACAGTGTTTCAGTGTCATTGGTGTTTAATGAGTTTAAAAATACTCTCCTGGAATATAGCAAATGCTAAGAGGAGTTGGTGGATAATTGATCTAGTTGTAACCTCTGTGGAGGTGCCAGGGTAAGTCATGAGAAGGATATACGAATGGTAAGGTCAGTCGACCTAAAACAATAAGGGTGACACTAAATTTAGCTATTACTCAAGAACACACTATATGATCATAGAGATACATATTACATCAATATTAACTATTTTACTTTAAGTAACATAATAACCTATGTAGCTTTGCTCATTTCTTGAATATGGAAAGTGAGACTCAGCAGGTGAAAGGTAGAGAGAAGATTCAAACTTGACGTATTTGGTTCTAAAGTATAGTAATTTACACAACATCGAACTAACTCTGAATAAGATTAATCAGAATGTCTTAAGTGGAAGAAAGCTTGGCAAATCTAGAGTGAATATTCAGAGATCCAGAAAAATAGGCAAAATGTTATTTTGGTAGCTTGTCAAGAGGTATGCAAGATTTAGTCTACTAGCTTAGGAATAATTTTTTTACTGAGAAAGGTCAGGTAAAGAGATTTTATTTTTGTGCCCCTTTTCCTAAAATATGGCATCTGAAGAAAAATCTGCCCACAAAGATAAAATAGCTCTAGATACTTTATACTGATCTATTGTCTATTGCTGTACCACAAATTAATTCAAGTTTAAGGATCTTAAAAAGACATGCTTCTTATATCACAGGCGTATAGGTCAGAATATGGTGATGGCTTTCCTGGCCCTTCTGCACATGGCCTCTTCACAAGGCTAGAAGTAGGAGGTGGTTCAAGGCTACAATTTCATATGAAGGCTTAACTAGAAATGGGTATGCTTTCAACAGAATTTTGACTTATCTTAGCACTCAATTCTTAATGGGTTTCAAGTTTGAGGACCTGAATTCCTTGCTGAATTCCTGAAAGATGAAACATGCCATTGCTTATTGACCTGCTCAGCACCTTTCCACACAGACCTGTGCAACACGGCAGCTGTGCATCCTTTGAGCAATGCAAGAACACACAACAAGAAGGCCATGGTGGATGAAGTCACAATCTCAGCCACTTAGTCCCAAAAAGGATGTTCCACGAGATTCAATGTACCCCGTCAGACAAAAGTAAGGCACTAAATACAGCCCACAGTTAAATGGACAGATGATACAGCCTGTCTGAGAGAATGTCTGCCATGAGAAGTGTGTGTAAGTGCTGTTGATGTGTACTTCGAGGGCCAGCTCCCAGGCCAAATGCTTGGCTCTTGCATTCAATAACTGTGACATTTAGTGAGTTTCTTTTCTGAGGATGAGAATCAATGAACCTAACCGAGGGAAAATATCTTAACAATAAATGGAAAAGAAATGAAAATACGTTTAAGAAAACAGATGCTAAGAAAATTTATTAATACCAGGTTCAAAATGAAAGAAACACTGAAGAATATTTTAGCGAAAGTCAGAATGATCCTACTAGAAGTTTGGAGATGCGGGGTACATCAAGGTCAAAGGCAAAAGAAACCTGTGTCCCTTCCAGTGAATACTGACTGAATAATAATAATATCTGTGATCTTTCAAGTCTCTTTATAGAATTAACACATATTGTAGCAACAATAACTTGCGGAGAATTAGTAAGATTAAAATGTTTCTGGCACCTTAGACCCCTCGGGCATCCTGACACTCTATTAAAATGTTTCTTATATTTTAAACTATATATATATTTTTTTCTTGAACTTTAATAAGAATGTTTAACTAGTAATTTATTGTGTAGCTCCTAAAGGAAGATGGAAGACAAAAAGATAATTACAGGGAAGAAAATGAAAAAGAAAAATATTTGATTTAAATGTAGAAAAATATAAGAAACAAACGTTTGTAGAAAAAATGTTAGCAAGATGATAATTTAAATCAAACTACCTCAGGATTATATTAAATATAAGGTGATTAACTACTCTGATAAAAATGAATGATCTAATCTAATATCCTCCCCAAATATGCACAACTATTGTTATAAGAAAAACACATTCAATAGAAGAATGCAACTTGTGAATATTGTTAAATCACAAAATGATTTTATAAAGGTAATTTTTTTACTCACAAGCACAAGGTCCTGAGTTTGATCCCTGGTAACACCCCCCCCCCCAAAAAAAGATACTTTTTCCACAATTGGGAAAATTTAATTTTAAATAGGTAATAATTTATAAAATGATTCTTAATTTTACTATTGTGGCTTGTTTTATGAAGGTTATATAAGAATTCTTACCTAATTGTATGTGGTGTGCACTTGTGTGTGTGTGTGCATGCGCATTATGTGTATTTCTGGGAAATAATATTTCTGCTTAACTTTGTAAATATTTAGTTTTGATTTGTCTTCTAGAGTTCTTCTGTTATTTGCAATCCCATCAACAGCAAGAATATATCTACACCCTCCCACTACTACTGATATCAGGCATTAGCATTTATTATTTAGCATTTAGTACTGCCAACATGATGCCCGGGTTTGGTGGCATATATCTGTATTCCCAGCGTTTGGGAAGCGGAGGCAGGAGGATCACAATTTGAGGCCAGTCTTTCTAAGACTTTGTCACAAGGAAAGGTTTTTTTTTTAAAAAAAACTATAATATATATTATATATTATATCCATTATATATAATATATATGTTCAATGCAAAAATTTATGCCTGTTGTTTTATCCTTAATATTGAGGTTAAACATTCTTTTTCACCTATTTTAAAACCATCTTTGTGTACTCTGTTCTTTTTCCACATTTCTTTTTCTTTACCCATTGTTCATCTTTACCTTACTGCATTAAAGATGCTTACTACATAGCAAATTAAGATAATTCATCTCTGTAGTTAAATTCCACTGAGTGGAAGTGGTCATACGTTGCTGCTTTTCTCAGTTTGTTACTTGACAATAATTCTCATGCTTTTATGTAGAATTTTTAGTTTTAGTTTATGTGTAGTCATACTTACATTATTTCTTGTAATTTTTTAGGATTGATAATAGTTTGTCTTCAAATACATTTTAACTGTTTTGGAACAGTTATGTTTCTATATTTTAATTTAACTTTCTTGCATGAGACATGAGTAATCAAAATTCTAAACTTTTCCATAGACTACTCAGTTTTCTCAACAATTTTAAGCAATTTATATTTTCTCCATGAATTTGAAATAACATCACTTTTTATACTACATTCCCATAAGAAATTTGTACTCTGACCTTTCCTACTATTTCAGTGATCTCAATCTGTGCATGTGACAAGAATATATCATATATTGTTAAAGCTTTATGATAAGTTACAGTCACTAGATTCTCCATCATGTCTTCTCTTCTTAAATATTTTTCTAAATCTTCATAATCACATTTTCCATTTGAACATGAAAATGCTTAGTTCCAAGAAAATATTATGGTATTTTTTATGGGATTGAAAAAATTGAATGCATTTTAAGGAGAATTGACGTCATAAGCATTCCAAGTCTTTATACTGAAATTACTGATTGCTTTTTATATCCTTGTGAAGTAATTTGTATCTCTCAAAGGTGGGTAGAATGTATTCATATAGAACTTGCATGACTTATTGTTGCTATTGTAGGTAGAAAATTTACAATCATATATTATGATTTGATACTTCATTCATATTAATAATAATGTGTTGCTTTCTTACTATCTATAGCTGAAATCTAAAAAACTGAGTCTAAATATGATTTTAAAAGTAAAAATGTTATTACTGTATATAGTTCTGTATTTGCTTTGCAAAGTGTGTATTAAAGGCTTTGCAGAAGTTTATTGCTTAAGCAAATCAAGCATTGTGGCAAGAAATCATGGTGCTCATGTCAAAGGTCAGCAGTCAAAGTCAGGAGAAGGAAGCTAGATGCAGCTAGAATGGAGGTACTGATTGGTATATGAGCGAATCTCCTAGGTACCTGCTGGAAGTACCTTGGAGGAACTATATTATGTGTCACTTCAGAGACATTAAACTTCAGTCAAGACTGTCACCAAAGGGGCTGAATCCATAAAAGAAGAGCATGACTGCTTCCTTGAGTTACTGACAGAATACTCTTGTGAAAATCTGTGAACCACCGTGTGGATCTGGCAAGAAAGGAGATGATTTTGCTAGGATTACACATAATGTAGGCAAGTAGACCTGAGAAAAGCTGTTTGTGATAAAATGACCCAATTTTTACTCTGAAGGTGGTAATGTGTACACTGTATTACAAAGCCATACACACACACATTATATACACCTAGGTACATATTCCACACTTGAGACTGTGCCTTAAGTTTCCTTGTAGGGAAAATTAGGAAGCAAGTCCTCTCCTAATACTAAGAGGTGAGTATTTTTATTGAATATTGGAGGCACTGGTAGAGCCCTCCTTGCATCCACAGTCCTATTCACTAAGCCTAGGCTCACCTCCAACCTCTGATATTTGTATGTATTTCTGAGATCTCCTTTCCTTCCAAGGATTGGAGGAAGCCATTGAATGAATATTTGGGGAAAGTCTTGAGCCATGGTAGCAGTCCTTAGTCGATTTCTATTTGGAGTTGGTGTGCAGATACTCCAGCTTCCTACTGAGTTGATTCTTAGATACCACCATTCCTGGAGTTCCCCAGAGAATTACACTCCAGTTGCCCACTGTGATAGTTGGATTAATGATGGACCCTGAATTAGTTTCCTCAGGCTGCCACCATGAAATACCACACACTGGTGGTTTAAACCATAGATATTTATCTTCTCAGAGCTCTGGAGTCAAGAAATCAGACATCGAAGTGTCAGCAGGTTTGGTTTCTGGTGAGGCATCACTTCCTGACTTGTAGACATCGGTGACTTCTTACTGTGTCCTCCTTTGGTTTATTTTCTCTGGACACACACATGTACTCATGCACACACATGCACACACACAATGCAACACACATGGAGTGAGGTGGAGAGGGAGAGCTGTCATTGGTGTCTCTTCTTATTATAAGGACACCAGCCTTATAGGATTAATACGCTGCTTTTATGACTCCATTTAATCTATTTCCTAAAAGCCATTACCTCCAAATACAATCACCTTGGAGGTTAGGATGTCATCCTATGGGAGGGAGACACAATTCAGACCATAAAATACCCTTCACTAGGTATCTCTCATGCTCTGTATCAAAACAGGATTTCACAGCCAGTACTCCCCATCTCAAAAATAAAGCCCTCCCTCTACTAAAAATCATTGACTAAGGGTGTTTGTGGAAAAACACAACTAAGATAATTGGCCACAGAGGACAAAAACAGTGACTTGGGTCAAGGCCAGTGTTTGGTCATAGGAAAAATATAATAAATCTTCATAGATAAGTTAGTAATCATAAGCTTTTTCTTTTAATCTGTCTTATTTTCTACCAGTCTAGGTAGCTATCTACTTTTCTATCTATCACCTTTCTATTTTACAGGGTTACTTTTGTAGACATCAAAGCTACACAGAATTCTCCAAGATAGTTCCCTTCAAAAAGATTCTTTGTAAATAAATTATAGGCAGGAGGGTGAAGTTTCCAACTGTTATTAAGGCTCTATTCAGAGTAAAATTTGATTTTTTTTTTTTTTCTGTTTTGATGACAGTAGCTCAGCAGGGTTCCAAGGCACTGGGTTGTGTGAAGCCAAATCATTATTCAGGAGCCAAGTTTACTCAGAAGGCACACCAAGGATCCTCCACCATGAGGGGAGGCACGCCTCACTCCAATCAGGGAGGGAAGCAGATGCATTTCCCTCAGGGCCATGCAGTGATGGGATGGCCCCAGGAGTGGAGACAGAAAGAAACTGGATGTCCCATGTGCTGATGGCAAATTTCTGAGGAAACGTTCTTCATGAATCTTACATAGGAAACTGTAAAGCGACATGTCTAATTAGGGCCCAGTGTCTGGAAATGAAAGAAAATGTAGAGTTCACATAAATCTCTTCAGAACACCCTTGGGTTATAAAGTTCCTGAGTTTCACAGCAAACTTTGTAGAGATATCTGTGAGTTGTGGCCCTGAGACAGACCTGGGAAGCAAATCTCTTCAGCTGGTGAGTCACGTGACTGTCAACCTTTCTGCCATTTAAGGGCTCAGTTTCCTTATGTGTAATGAAAAGTAATGTCTTTACTTTACTGGGAGATTGAGCACAGAATGGCAGAACAAAGAATCACTCACTTAAGTTTTTCTATCACAGCTTCTAACACTGACTTGGTGACAATAAACTATCTATTGATGTTGTGTGTACCTATTCCTATTTAATTTTTAAAATCAGCCCTACCTCAAAAATACTTATCCCCTCTGTCATATCATTTGTAATAATGCAAGACTCAATCTAATCATGAAAAAACCTCGGGCAAACTCAAACTGAATGACTTTCTACAAAATAACAGGACAGTAAGTACTCTTGTAAATGTCTCTAGCTAATGAAAGACAAGAAAGACTGAAGGAAATGTCCAGGATAGAGGGTGTTAGGGAGACACAATAGCTGATTGCTGTATAGGATCCTGGTTTAAGTTCTAAAGGATTAAAGGATATTAATGGAAAAACTGATCAAATCAGGCAAGGTTTGTATTTTTGTTGAATATTTAAAACAGCAATAGAAGGACAAATAACATAAACAATTTATTTTTACTTTTAAAAGGGAACATCAGTCTGGTTATTTCCTTACAGCACCAGGAGCAGTGGGGACTCTTACTTTTCTGTATAATTACTGTACAGCTGTGAACAGCTTTGTGTTTATCATTTGAACACCTATAAGATTCTTGATGCGTATGTGTCAGGTATCGTATTTCAAGCATTCTTTTTCTCAATATGTATTGCCCATTAAGGCAATCCCAGATGAATAAGTGTACAAAGTAACAGATTTCATGCCAATATCTTTCTATAACAGTTATCCTGGATTTCACTCACCTTGGCATAACATGTTAACATAATCATATTCAGTGCCATCAGAACTCTAAAATTTCAAACTTGGAATTTACCAAGAGAAAAGCTAATTTCCTTCCCTGGGCCTCAGTTTCTTTTTTGGAAGGCAATGAATTTCATTCAAAATTTTCAAAATTATTAACATTTCACAATTGTTTATAAGTGATTAAATCCAGCAAGCATTAGGATGCAGATGTATTAATTTGAGCTGCTGCTTCCAAGCATCCATAAAATACGCAGTAGGGAGCAAGAAAAGAATCCTCTGAGATACATGGTGATTCCCTTTGGAAAGTGTTCACTGTACTCTGAATTTACCGCTTCAACTTATAATGAATTTAACCTCTTAAACTGAATTCTCAAAGTGTCAATGACCAAGATGTTCCCAAAGATGAGAGTCTCCACAGCTGGAAAATTCAGTTATAGGAAAATGACTTTTTTTTTCACAAAAGAACCTTTTTTGTACATGTGAAGACAACAGTTTCAACACTTGCTTTGTTTTATTTTTTGGCTGGCAGCACCTGAAGATGGCAAAACTTTGAATTATTGGGTCAGAGCCCACTTTTAAAGCAGTTATATATCTGTTCTAATTTGGGAACACAGCTGCCTTTTTCTTACTGAAATGAGATTTTTATGTTATTAAGAAAATCTGGCAATGTTAAAGGAGAAAGTACAAATATTTATAAGTTCAAAGAATGAAAATATTTTATTAGAAAAAGATCATGTCTCCGATATGTATTCTGGTGTAAATGTTCTTATTCTTAAATCTCAGAGCTGTGGTTCATCATGTTTGCCTCAAGCAAACTGAGAAATCACAGTTTCTCTCTGTTGTTTCATGTTTGTGTATGAACCATATAAAGACGGTCGCAACTAACTTAATTTGTGTGTTCACATATGATTTCCATGATGTTGAGTTTTTCATGCACACTATAATAACCATCATTTTCTTGAAATGGGTGCTTTTAAGATTAGTCTGTTCAGATGAATAAATTATTTTTCATAATAATAACTTTTTTAAAAATATCATTGAAAAACATATGTGAGGGAATAAAAGTAAACAAAAGGAATCTAATCAAAGAAGAAAAACATAAGAATAAGTAAAAAAGACATTAGTCAGGGAAAACCATCCAAGCTGGTCCCAAGGTAGACAAAACATTAGTGGTTGAAATATGTAGTATTTTTTAAAGTACTCTGTCACTCAATCCAATCTGGTTGGCAGAGTAAGAAGAGTAAAAATTTTAATCAAAGGACTGGATTACAAATCGAGTCTTTTCTTCAATTACTTGAGTTGCAGCAGGAAAACACACAACCACTTTCTTTCCAAAATAAATGATCAGTAAAGGTAGAAGAAGTTGGAAACTCCCTGAATAATAATTCTTGTGTATTTTGAGATGAATCAGAAGATGAAACATTATGACTCTGTTTCATCCCCATGAAACGTGAAACCCTGTAAATTTTCATGACATAGATTTTGACAATGAAGGGAAAAAATATGAGGTATTTCCAACTTGTATCCATGTGGCTTGGCCTAGAGAAAAGCAAGCACAACGAGCCATCCAGGTGTAAAATAGTGACGTTCATCCACACAGAAGAATTAGCTACCTACTGTGTCCTAGGCATGGTTCTTAGTGAATAAGCATATTGTACAATTCTCCGTTCCCATAGTTTCCATTCCAGTTGACTGGAGACAGGTAATAATCACATTCACAAACAGATCTGTCTTTTTATAATAGCTGGAAGAAAAATCACACATCAAAGTACAAGAAGGATACATTTATTGAATGCTGGAATGTGAAGTCATTCAATATGCATTTTTCTTTCAAATCCTAATACAAGAATGAATATCATTTATATTTTACAGAAGATGAAATTGGGCGTCCTAAGTCTTTATTATTATTATTATTATTGTTTTCCTGTGCAGAAATGTAAAGTGGGAATTCATAATGTTCTTGACCAGAGAATCCTTTTTTACAACATTACACAGTTCCATAGACCTCACAAATACTGCGCACATTTTTCTTCAAGGAAAATATATCCATAACCTCATTTGGCTTATAGTGAAAGTAGACATTACAGCAGATACTTGCCAGGGAGCTAAGAATTGTTTTTGAGAACACATTTGTAAATCATCACTTCTATGCAGGGGAAATAGCAGATGAGCAGAATGCTTAACCTATACTATATTCAACAAATATTTAGGAGCCCTTCACTCTAACATCAGACACTGTCCCAGATAATTATGACACCACCAGATATAACAATTTAGCCACAGCCCCTCCTCCTACTGCGTGTGGCCTGTGGAAGTAAGAAACCACAAGGAAATGAACAGGAAAAATGGCATGGTAGTAGCCACAATGGAGGGAGCGTGGGGCATTATGGAAAAACAATGGAAGGGTGCTAGGAATCGATTTAGGAATCAGGATCGGAATCATTAAATCTGTTCATGATTAGAAATTTTGAACATCTTTCCATTTTTTTTACTAGTATTGATTTGTTACTCAGATCATATAAATCCATTTTCTAAATGATGCGAGATACTTAAAACTGATAAGCCCGATATGCTTAGAAAGTCATATCTAGGTGTGAATCTGAGTAAATAATGTTTTCTTTCAATCATGATTATCACCTATTTGATAAGACCAATAAATCTCATGCATTGCATGATGGGAGGTCATCATGGGAGGATGGATATGAAAAATGCTAGTGAAACATGATTTATAAATATAATTATAATTCTCAAAAAAGACTACCAGTACCATTTGGTCAAATAAATATACCAATGATTGGAAATAAAATTAGTCATGTAAACTATCAAATGATTTATCCCATATACATGATATTAAGGGAAACATGCCACATGCCCTATTTGCAGTCACAATAGGTGCAGCAGCTAGTTAAATTCCTCAATTAAGGAAGAGTAGGTATTGAAAGCTCAATTTGTACCGTCATGAATATAAACATTAGATATAGACTCATCGATAACAGCAAATCAACATATATTAAATCACGAATATTATTAACTCCATGTGATCAGCACGATATTATAACCTTAATTTTGTAAATAAGGAAACTGAAATTCTGCAAACTCCGCAATTTTTCAAGGTCACTTACCTAGTACACATGAGATCTAAGTTCTATCCCCAGATAATCTTGATTTCAGCATTCCAAGTCAAGTTCTCATTTGGATTACCCACGTGGTTTCTACTCATTTGGAACTGTTGGCTTTTTCTGAGAAATATCAAGGGATTTCCAATTGAAAGATGCTATGAGTCAAAAAATGTTTAAAACCTAAAATAATTTTTAAAATTATAAAGGAAACATGAAATCCCTGAATAAAAATATAATAATCACTACTTTTCTCTCCCCTGCCTCTTTTAGTGTGTCGATTCACTATAATATTTCATATTTTTATATGTATGCATTGAGCACATATAAAAGTGACATGGTTAATATATAAATATATGTATATATTTTAATATATTAAATATATGTATATATACTGGATAAATTTTACTGTTAGAGCTAGACTCAGAATGTCTCATTATCTCTTCCTTAGATATTAATGAATATTGTGAATTCTCTGGGTTCTGTTTAGCATATACAACCTAGATGGAAATTCCAAAGTGGTTCTTAGGGAAGCTATGGTTTATAAGAAGGAAAAATTCAAATGAAGGTAGAATAAAAACTACAAAAGAAATTGAGGAGACGGAAAGTCATTCTGGATAATAAAATTTGATTTTTGTGGGAGCAAGATACTACCACACACTTTCTAAAGATATGAGGAAAACAATCCTGTAAAATAGAATTTGAGACCTATTAGACTAAAGGTGAGAATGCTGTATTGAGGCCAGGTTATGGGTTCTCCTGAATTTCATGCTTAGAAGTTTGTATTCTACTTTTTGTTTCAAACCCAGAGAAGACCTTTAGTTTTATAAATGAAAGTACCTTTCCTTCCTTCCATTGATCGTAGAAAATTTATTGGTCCTATTATGTCAAACCTGATACTATTTGATTTGTTTTATTTTTCTATGTTTTATGTAAATATTTCATAGCAAACAAATGTTACAATCTAGAAAAATCTAAACTACAAAGTAAAAGTCCTACACATATCTACCTCTGAATCGGGTCTGTTTACTTTCTATGTATATGTATACAAATATGAATACCATACACTTACTCTTAATGGCACATTATCTTTTCATAATTACATATTTCTTCTCTTGATAGGACAGAAAAATATTTCTGTGCCAAGATATCAGTTTCTCTCATCATATTTTCTTCAATACATATGCTAAAAATCATCTAAACAAATGAAAAATTCATACTTTCACTGTTAGTCAACTTTTCATCCCTGTGAAAAAATACTAGACGTAAATCAACTTAAAGGAGGAAGAGTTAAATTTGGCTTCTGGTTTCAGGGGCTTCAGTCCATGGTTAGCTTGCTCCTTTGCTGTGGACCTGAAGTGAAGCAGACCACGATGGTAGAAACTGTGTTGGAGCAAAGCTCTTCACTCATGGCAGCCAGTATGCAGAGTGTGAGGCAGCGACAGCCTGACAAAAGGAGCCCAGAACAAGACATAGGCCACAAAGCCACATCCCCATGGTGCACTGCCTTCAATTTAGCCTTACCTTGTATTTGTATCACCTCTCACAAGGACATCAAAATATGACCACAACAATGGATTACTCTAGGGCTAAAGTTAAGAGTTCTCCAAATCCATTCACTTCCTCAAAGCCCATGAGCAACTGAGCCTTCAAATAAATGAGCCTTTGGGGTGGGGGCATATTATATCCAACCCATAACTCGCACCCTGAACTAGTCCATATAATCCTGATAAGTTAATTGTGTAGTTGTATAGATGTGACTTACCAGTATGCAACTTTTTTTCTTCTTTTAGATGATGTATATATGTACATGAGTGTACATATATACACATGTACACACATATTTGGAAAGAGGAAATAAAATATTCCTATGATGACATAAACATGCATTTATCCATATATATGTTTGTTGATAAAAATGTAGTCTTTTCATACTTATAGACCTAACATTTGCAGTTTCATTTTCTGCATCATAGAAAATATGTATCTCATTTTTCCTAATAAGTGAATAGCCTGGATCCACTTAGCTGCTTTTTGTATTATTGCAAATAAAATAATTTTTCCCTTCATATAGTTTTGAGTGGTTCATTCCTATGAATTTGTAACATATATTTTAGCTGTGAACATAATGTGGTCTATGTGTTTACCCAAACTTCCATACCATATTGTATTTCGAGAACAATGAACTCCCTGGGTCACTTTCCATCTGACCAAATCAACACTACCTCTAGCCCATCATGCACCTATGTAGTCATCATTATGTTTAAAAAATGATATGCCTAGAATACACCAAAATCTTTTCTTGATGTTAAACCTCAAACGTGTTTAAAATTCAGTCACTCTTTTCATGTATTTTGGTAACAAATTAAGAACAGAGAAAACTATAAATTTTACTTTGAAAAAGACTTCTTTATGTCCTTAATAAAATGTAGACTATTTATTTCCTAGGAGTCAAGTATATGTTCAGTTGTTGGCCATTGCTAATTGGTATCCACACCATTTATGCTCAACGTAGTTGAAAGACTAAAGTTTTTCTTTATGTTGTTGGTTGTTTTTGTGGAAAAATGTACCCTAAACCATGACCTGCAAGGGAGATAATAATTGATGTAAGGCAGTATGTAATAATCTAAATGGAATGTGACTTTAAAGATAGAAAAAACTAAGCCCAGAAATCAAGATGGTAAAATTTATACTTCAAACCCTAAGTTCATTACATTTCAGCTTTGCCACCTTCTACATAGTGTTAATGCTGTCTATTAGTTTCCCCATTGAAATTTATGATTTTGAGGTGAAATACCTTGTGGAATTGTTATAAGAACTAGAGGGGAAGGCATAACCTAAGTACT